TCAAGTGTAACCCCTGTTTTGAATCAAATGAACATGCGCTTGCATTTATTTAAAGGACCACAAATAAAAATGTAACACACTGCCATTACTTTTAACAGAGTCAGTAAAGACCAGATAAAGTGAAAACAAATGAAAGCAAAACTCAATGCGCCTCGTCTTTCTCACCCTTAATGGCCTGTCATTGTTTTTCATTGGGCAAGGGCAACCAGTATTATAGATAAACAGTTCTGAAGAAATGAAGAAATTAAAACTAGGTAATCAATCTAGACAATTTCTGTAGTTAAACCTGCCTTACTGGCAATCTACCAGAGAAAACTGTTTAAAGTTGCCTCTCTATAGCATCTGAGAAACTTTTCTTTCCCAACCCGTCCCAGGTAGACGGCACAACTAATAAAGGGGTTGCAGAAAATTGCAATGAAAAATAATAAATAAAGAGTAATACAAGTCAGTTACATACTTCTATGTTTATCTCTGCCAACTCCATATTAATATAGATATCAGCCTTGATTTCAACAACCTCCAGCAGTATCCTGGTAGCATCCCTACAGAGAGCAAGGGTAGAGGAGTGACAGAAAGATAATATATGTGCCACATACAAAACCTTGCAAATTGTAGAAAATTTTTTATGCTCCATTATTTGGCTAATAAACCACAAGGAGAAAGAATTCATGGTGGGAAAAGAGGACATAGGAAGCATGAAAGACACTCTAACCCCAGCAGTTAGTAAGATTCTAACTTTAATTTCTTACCTGTCTGGAGAATCAAATAGCGCAATAGTTTCATCTGTCGGTACTGATGTTTACATGAAGATGGAAGTAAAGAAGAAAAAACAATCAATTAATTAAAGGTCACTTTTAAGTATCAGTGGATTGTAAACTTTCTCAATCCATTGTCCTCGAGGTGAATATGTGTTGCTCCATTCTTTTCCTCAAAAGAAGGGCTGGGTCTGTCTAGGGTCACTCGACCTGGAAACAACAGTTTTTCCAGAAAGTAAGAAGAGATGTCCATCTTACTCTCTTGTATGGATGGTCAACATTTAGCTTCCATGGACAAAATCAACAAGTCAAACATCCAGCTGAGGAGCGCAAGGGCACATAACAAATATTTATGCAACATTTAGCAACAGTAGAAGGAATTAAAGGTACTTCTGCTTTATTGCCAAGATAATTTTCCAAATGTTTTAGACATAAAGTGACTCAAAAAACCCTCAAATCCTTTTCAAAGCCCTTCCCTCAAATATTTGTATATGGTTTATAATATCATAATATTTTTATTTTTTACTTTGAAATGTAGTTTTCCTTCACCGTCTTCAACTATAAAAGAGCAGTCCACATAGAATTTAGTTCTAAATGTTTATATTCGGTAAAAAATCATTCTAAGCCACATCAAATTTACGGGTTTATGGCATGTCAAGCAATTTACTAACAGCCACTTAACTGTTGCAAACAATCGTCATTTTTTCAGTCAAAATGAGAAAAAGAAAATGGAGGATAAAAAGATGAGGTCATGGGCATGATTTAATAGTTTGAAGAATATGGTCAAACTTAAGATCAAGTTAGCTTTGGATGGAAGGAAGAAGAACATATTTCTTCATTAGGGCCAGGAAAAAATTTGAAATATGTACTTGGAACATACAAAAGAACCTTACCTAAACAAGAAAATCATACAGGCCTGAAAACATTTGGAGTACGTATTTGGAACATACAAGAAGACCTTACATAAACAAAAAAAAAAATCATACAGGCCTGAAAACATTTGAAGTATGTATTTGGAACATGCAAGAAGACCTTACATAAACTTAAAAAAAAAAAATCACACAACAGCAACCATGAAACCTCAAAAGACCAAAGAAAATACACCCCCTCTTGCTTCAAATATGATATCTAATACATCATAGATTGATTTATCCTTGCTCTTATGACTTATCCAAAGAATAGTAGTATATGCATCTGTGCCAAAACAAGGATGAAACAACTGTGATGAGTAGATCAATCGGAAGTGAGCTGATAAAGCATGAGAACAGATGAGTCGACTCAGTGCAGTTCCTATATGCCCAAAAGCTATTGTCATAATGCTCACATCCCATGCCATAGATGTACAGATGGAACTGGTGTTTACTATAACAACGAATAGGGGAATGGGATATATATGTGAAAATCTAGAAACTTCACCACTGAATATGGGAATGGAATATATATGTGAAAGTCTAGAAACTTCACTACAAGAATAGCAACATGCATCAACAAACTAATAGCAAAACAAAGAGAAGATTTAATGTCATGAACAATATTACCTTCTTATCTGGAGCATTATTCTAAAGCTTCCTCATCACAAAGTTGCTTACATGATTCCTACCAAGACATAGATAGAAGCTAACTTAAAAGAAATAATATCATAAATATGATAATGAAAAAAATGAGTATAATTACCATTTTAAAGAAAAAGCATACTACACTTTACGAGGTTGCTGTGTATGGTCAACCTAATCGAGGAAGATGAATAAATTACTTTTTCTCTTACCTGAGGTCCTGCGCTAGAAATTACTATTGTTCTTCCAATAATTCCTAATGACGTGACGACATTGACATGCACTGAAATTAACACAAGTATCCCCTGGTACAAGTAAAGAGCTTGGCATCACATCCAAAACCTATATTCAGGAATGAATTTCAGGAAATTTCTATTGGCCCAAGGTTTCCCGCAACCAAATATAGCGTTCTGATACCATTTCTACCCAAAGTACCATCCTAGGATTCCCAAACATTCATGAGGCCTACACTACACAACAAAGGGAATCTGCCATCTTAAAACTTCTCATGTGTGTGTGTGGTTGGGGGTGGGAGACTTCATCAAAGAAACTCTGTTTAAGGAAGAGCAAGCTCATTGATAGGCAACAATGTCATTTAATAGGAAAAGAGGTTTAGTATGCTCCAAAAGAAATGGCAGTAGAAGACAATTCATTCCATAATTAAATGCTTAAAGTTGAATCCTTAAAAAAACCAACATTTACTTATCAAAAAAAAAAAAAAAAAAAAAAAACCAACATTTGCAGCTTGGGTGGAAAAAAGATGGAACAAATATAATTCCTAAATATGGTAAAAGGGACTTAGGATTGAGATACCAAAAAAGATGCTATGGCTCAAACTGGGGAGCCTAATCCTCTTCTTTTGGTTCAACCCAAATGGCAGAATCAACTGCCAGCAAAGGAAAACAAATGAATTATTAAGAGAATATCGATTATGCAAGAACAACATATAATCATTAGATAAAACAAAATAAAGCTATTCCGGGATTAGAAATTTTATTCTTCAAATAAGGCCTCATTAGGAAAAAAAAAAATTTGAAGGTTTCCTCAGGAAATTTTTGTGGAGGCTTCACTCTTCAGGAAAATAGTTGGGATACTAATGTAGCATGCAGAGAGCATATTGGGAAGGCCACTTCTTAGGAATACGAAAATTTCTCCCCTTATGTTAAGTAAAGCATTGGAGATGGGTCCAAGATCAATTTTGGGAGAATCTCCAGTAAGGTGATCACCTTTATAAATTATAATATTTTGTTCCCTAGTTTGTTCAGACTCTCTAAACTTCATGGATCCCAATAGAAAAAATTCACTGTTCATTTTAGTTCCTCTTTCTCATGGAATTCAATTTCTTTATAAAGAGCTTAAGATTGAGGAACTTGCATGCTCTCTCGCTCTTTTCACTAATGTGTATCTTTCATGATCAGCCTCTGAGAGAGTAAAATCCTATCAGCTACTAATTGAGGTCGTCATGCTTCAGTGTTACAAAACTCGAAATCAAGTTTTCTCCAACATGAGGGGAACTTGTATGATCAAATCATAATGCAATTTTGAGTGGTTCATGGGAGTATTTTTAAAAATTTACTTGATTCTAGAGCAGGTAGAGTTTACGGGTTTTATAATACTGGTTTATTCAAATGTATTGAGAATGGTTCTGCTTGGCATCCAAGTTAATCTCCAAATTAGGACCACTTATAGGTGTCAAGTTAGTGCTTTCCTTTAATTTTCAACTTCATCCTTCTTAGTGCTTCTCTTCAAGCCCCATGGCTCGCAGTATTCAAGCCTTCATAGCTGGAAGCATCACTATGTATAGTTTGTGTCATATTATATAGAATATTCAGTCATTTTTTATCAAAGAAACAGTAAGATGTTTTTCAAAAATAAAAGACGTATACAATGTTTACCAACAGAAATGAGAGGAACCAAGCCAATGCATTGTTAAGTCTTACATTCCTACGTCTAATATTGATTCAAACCCAAAAGAACTACAATAAGCTACCATTAAGTTTAACAGTTTATTCAAGTAGCAAAAGGCCTTGATGAACTTATTCATCAAAATAAAAGTTGATTCCCCATCTCATACCCCATTTACCGACCTCTGGTCAGTGGTGCATCTGCATTTTGCCATGTTTCTTTTTCTGACAAGATAGTGAAGTAACCAAAACTCTAATGGCAAGTCCACATAACATTTTCTCCTTTAGTCTTTTGGTTCTACAAGATCTGAAACAGTTGTCCTACAATCAATTAAAACCTTACTATTACGATTTATGCTTCCTGATCTAGCCAGGTGTATTCTACCATGACATTGTCACGAATTTGAACAAGCAGGACTAGAAATACTAGTCCCACAATCAACAAATACCCTACTACTATCATTTATGTTTCTTGATCTAGGCAAATGTATTTATCCCTCACATCGTAAGAAATTTCAAGAAGAGTGACCAAATGTAAAGATGATTGATAATTACATTTTTTATTGAGAGAAGCAACAAGAACAAGACCTTCAAGACCATCCAAATCAAATATCTAAAGGTTTTTGTCAAAAAATAAAAAACTTTTGAGTAGAAGAAAATCGCCAGTCAAGCAGATTAACTGTAGTTAAAAGAAACAAATATCCATCCTCACCCCACGTGGGGGAGGGAAAGGTAGAAGCCAGTGCATGACAGAATTCACACCAGAAGCAAATTCCCAGAGGAAACAATAAATTAAAGCAGTAAATGCATTTCTACACAAAAAAATATGGTGAATTGACATTTGCTGAAAGCCAAAAAGAATTATCCGCAAAGGGAAAAGATAGAAAAAGAACAAAACATGATTTTCCCCATAGAACATCATACAGCTGCTTGTACAACCCATCCAGGAAAAAAAAAAACTTGAATTACCGTAAAGGCATCCACCAAAACTTCTATTCATATTCAAACTGAATCTCTACATGCATATATTTTCTCATGAGCCTAACAATGGATGAGGTAAAGTTGGCTACCAACTGGCATTCTTCATGGGTTTTGACCTCTGAAACAACTCCATATATGACCAACTTCCTGAGATTGGGACACCTTTCAAGAAGCCCTGCTACCCAGTGTGAGAATAGATCACTGATTACAGTCCAACCCAGTTCCAACACAACTACATTCTCCAATTGAGATGTACCTTGCAAGCCATATTGAAGTGCTCCATCTCTTAGATCATAGCATAAAGACAGATGACTTAATTGCGGAAAGCACAGAGATATTGTCTCCAAATCCACAACCTCATCCTCGTCATCAAATACAACACCCCAAAGCCGAAGCCTTCTCAACTTTGATGATCTTGAGATCATGTGATGGAACTTTGCCCACATTATTGTGAAATTGCTAACGTCCACGACCTCGAGATTTTCAGTACTCTCGCCAATATCAAGATGAATGACACTAACATCATCAATCTTAAGAAGCCTCAAGGTTCCCTTGCCAACTAGCTCAAAAACCTCGAGTGTACAGTCTTTCAAGTGCAACTTCTCAAGGCTATCAGCCTCCAATATAAATTTGTCTAAACTGATAGCATCAACATAGATTTCCTTCAAAGATGGACTACTCAGTTCCATTGTCGCCTGTGCATCTGACATGGCAATATCTAGATTGATAAGGACCAAGGACTCAATTTTTGGGCAGACAGTGAGCAGGAGGCTCAAATCCAGTGCCGAGATACTAACATGACTCAGAGAAAGAGATTTCAGGCAGGGAAATTTCTGATAACTGGGTTCAACACCTGCAATAGAATTATGAGCCAAAGACAAAACTTCCAGCTTCTGCCGACCACATTTTTCAAGAATATTAATGTTAGGGGTCGTCCTTACATTGTAATACAATTGCCTCAATGTTTCCCTGGTGTACATGAGCCAAGAAATCACCGGGGCAGCTGAGAACTCATCAACATCATCCATAATAATTGATAGGCATTGCAATCCCGTCGTCTGTAAAATCGTCTGAGTGATAAGAATTTCCAGTCTACTGGTTGTGAGATCATGATAAACAGTCCAGTCATTGGAATTGAATGAAATTGTGTGGAGGTGGTTTCGCCAAGCTTCTCGCCATTTCCTGCAAGTCGCAGATGCTATCACAACATCTCGGGCAGCCCCAAGCCGGGACAGTATGTTACCAATGACCTCAACAGGGAGGTACTCCATACCCATCAAAACCAAACAAAGAATCCGCGGAAGCTACTCTATCAAATTCAATTACAAGACTCAGACAAAACCAATTTATAACGAAATGAACATCATCAAGAGATGTTGTGTAAACATAGGGCTTTTGCTTTTCCCATGTGGGAGTGTACAGAAATTCTAGATTGATCAGAAACCAAAGACCCAACAGCCAAATCTTCCAAAAATCCAAAATACCAACATCAATCAAGAATCCAAGAGGTGCTAGTGATTTTAACATACACTAGACAGTTTTGCACAAAAAGTCCAACAAAACCCCTATCCTAAATCAAATAATATGCGAAGTTTAGTGTGTGGAGTACCAATCGAGAAAGAAACCATTCAATCTAACTTCAAAGACTTTACATCAATCGACCACGCGAGTTCTGTCGATTTACATTCCTGCAACCATATATAAAGATTCGTCGCAATGAGAAATCAAAATATAGAGATAAAGAAATATAAAGAGAGAGAAGAGCATGTAAAATCTGAGTGGCTTACCAGAGAGAATCAGACGATCGTGAACCTCACATATACCCAAATCTGATAATCTGAACAATCAAATTCTTGCCCCAATCGTGAATCTGAGATATATAAAGTTTAGAGAGATGATTTAAGAGAGAGAGAAAGAGTAGCGTTGAAAAAAGACGATGATGCTGGGACTGAGAGAGAAGAAGCGATGAAACTGATGAGAAATCGAGAGGAGAGAGAACTGAGAGTTGGAATCTGATTCGTTGTTCTCGCTGTGATGTTCTTCTTTCTGTTCTTGCTCTGGTCATCCGTGCACAAAGTCGTTTGCACGTGAGAAAGACCCACGTCAATAGTTGTTCACCAATCATACATTATTATTATTATGCTCACCGGCTAACCTTTAATTAATTAATTTCCAATTGTATGATTAATTAAAATTCCACAAATCATTTGGAATAGTGATGAACACTATTATTAATAAAGTTTCCTCAAATCAATCGGAAAAGGAGAAAAATACTGATGAACACTATTAATTGTTTCCATGGTAAATAGAAAGTGTGTTTGGAAAAATGAAAATAATATTATATGACAACGTTTTAATTCAAGTGAGGTTTAGTCCCTCTCAAACTAATAATATCAATAATAATAATAATAATTGATTTGATTCATAAATTGAATCTCTTATTATTTGGAATGAATAAATTCAAAATAATAATAACAATAATAACACTAATACTTATTGATTTAATTTATAAATTGAATCTCCTATTATTTGGAATGATTAATTTATATGTAATTGAATTTGACGGGAGTTCAAATGAATTATAAAATCCTTATAAAAAACTAATAAGAAACTTTAATTTAACTAAAACTTTCATTTGATAATCAAAATTAAAGAAAATTTGTTTGAGCATTAGAAACTAAAGAGAGTCCATTTGTAGTCTGACAAAAATAATAATAATAATAGTAATAATAAATAAATAAATAAATAAAAATTGTAGTTGACCACTACCTCATTGAAAAACAAGGCTTTTAGGATTAATAATAATAACAAACAAAATTTTCCTTATATTTTTGGGATGAAAAATGAATTGACTTTCTTTGACGGTCCAATTCATATAACACAAATATTTACTCTTTTTTATGTTTGGAAAGTAAAATGTTATGTTGCATTTGAAAAGATTAAATAGACTTCTTGAAATTGAGAGTAGAGTAAATTTAATTTAAATTTTAAACTAATTCAAATTTAAATTCAAATTCAAATTTAAATTCAAAGTGTCCATTCATTGCTCCGAAACCACAACTTTGTGTTTAGGAAACAGATTATATACAAATTATACAATATCTGTATGTGTGTGTTGTAACTTTGTATATATAGGATATGCTGCTGACCTTGGGCTTGCAACACCCATGTTGGGTGCAGCAGGCTAGCAGGTTGTAATTGTACGATGCTTTATGTGCTGTCAACCTTGGGAGAATCTCAACTAAAAGCCAAACCCTAGCATGTAGACTGTAGTACGTAGTTCATAACTTCATAGTGTTTAAAGGAGAATATATACCGCAACCATTCATATAGCGCGTGTATAATACAACGGTTGTAATCTGTCCGATGTACTAGACATACTGAATATCCCGTGTTTAAATATGTTACGAAAATCAAAGGCCATGAAAGCAGTTGGCAATGTGTTATGGGAGATCATTTTGGCCGTGACATACTTGAATGTAAATGCAGTGCAGATGGTAAAACCAGTTTCCAATCAAACTGATTTTTGGCAAACACTTTCACAATCTTCACACTGTCAATTATGCTTTTGCCGTTGTAACAGTAATAAATTATTTCTTCTTGTTTGCATTCCATGAGCAACATTAAGATAGTTCTAGACAATGAACCGCGCTATCAAACAGACTTCACAACAATTTGACTTTGAAGCCATACACACTCATCCATTGTGGGCTCCAACTCCTTCAATATTTTTTGCCCGATGAGATAGTATTTAAGCTAGATTAATTTAAAATGGTGTGACCTAATGGTACTTTCTTACTTTTTATAATAAAAGATGGATGGTTCAAATCCTCGTATAAGCATGAATAAAATGAATATATTTCGGATTAATACAGTGAGATATGTGTTTGTTGGTGTAAAGTATAACAGAGATCAAATATATATATTGATTAATTCGATGTATTCAATTTATGTATATAAGCAATACCCGTATAATGTATTCAATTATGCATAAAAAGCTATACTTGAGATTCAAATATCCGACAGAAAAAGGGTAGTGGTCACTGTGTATTAATATTTGATTACTTCTTCTTCCTCTTCTTCTTTTTTTTTTTTTTTTTTTTTTGAAACATTTGATTACTTAGTTACTCTTGCATCTTATTACAGTTTTTCTCCCATTATACCATTTAATCTAATATTTAACTATGATTCTAACATTAAAGCTATTATAATATAATACCAAATTAACCTACTATTATACCAAAGATGATATCATATTATAAAACTAATTCAATAAAAGAGATAAAATCATCTTAGATACAAGAAATGCCAAAGATCTGAATAATATTGTTCTTCCTTTTCCTTTTCCTTTTCCTTTTCTTTTTCTTTTTCTTTTTCTTTTTATATTTATATTTTTTTTTAGTTTTTAGAAAAAAAACAACTGAACCAATCATAAGCTGCCACGTGGCAAGTCAAAGTACGTATAGCGGTGAATCCGATTACTAGTTAAACTAAAATTAGGCCCATTATAACGAACGAACCTTGTCGCTAATGAGCCTTAACTTCTGATTGAATCTACCACCGTCCGTTAGTATACGATATACATCTCAAATCTGGCATCAGAGACTTGAACGGTGCTGATCAACACACACTGTTGCATCCCCTTTCTCCCCCCATTTCCCTCCATTTCAATCTCTTCAAACTAACTCTCTCTCTCTCTCGTTACGCGCACACAAAACACATATTGATATATCCATTTTCCTCCTCCATTTCAATCAATCGATCTCTTTCTCTCTCACACACACAAAATCGATGGATCGAATTTCTGCAGTGAGTCTGTTTGCTCTGCTTTTCACAGCAATTCTGGTCTCAGTCCGACCAGTGAAACATTTGCCAGACAAGAGTCGATACGACGTTCCTGAAGACGTCACGAATCCTGTACCCGTATTTGCAAATAAGGTTTACTCCGATGACGATCCACGGTAACCACTCCTATTCTCTGCAAATTCTCCACTCAATTGCAGCTATATATTCTTGATATGCACGATTCTTGGTTGCTCGATTGATTATCTTTTTCATTGAAGAATTTCAATCTCAATTGTTTCACAATCTCATTAAAACATTCAATAGTGAGCAAGATTTGAGTGATATCTTAGGGTTCGTTATAAAATTATCTGTGAAAAATTAAATTTATATTCAATTATGTTTATCTTTCTATCTATCTATATATAGATGTTAGCTTAATCTTAGGGTTTACTAATTTGTCTCGTGTTCTTTTTCTTGATTGGATTTTCCAATAAATTAACTGCGATGTTCATGCATGTTTCTTGAGTTTTTTTGTTCATTGTTGTTAATCATGTTTTTGATGAGATATGCTATCTCTGGCCTAATATTTCTACTGATTTTTAAAACTTCTTTTGTTGCAGTGTTGCAATCCCATACTTTGAGCTGCCATTCTGCCCTCCAGGAAGTAAGAGATTTTTTTTAAAGAAAAACTATTTATGCTATGTTCGGTACCATGGAATTGGTGCCTTGGAGTTGGAATTGGGGAAATTTTTGAACTAATTTTTGTCCAATTCCATTCTATGTAACATAGCATTAGAGTTTTGTATTGTTCAAGTATATGTCATTACCTCTTTTCTATTAAATAGTTATTCAGTATGGACTGCCGAACCCAAAGCCATTGTTGTTATGGTCACATCAAAAGAATTATTCTGTAAAATATTAGCTGAACCACAAGAAGTTGTTATTATGCATTATGGACTTCATTTTTTATTTCAAGATATCATGTGGGAGGTACATGTTCAAAATGCATGGAAGTTTGAATTGCAGATCCAGTAAAGAATAGGAAGAAATCCTTGGAAGAAATTGTGGAGGGTGACTGCTTCACCAATACTCTATATGAGCTGAATTTTAAAGTTGATAAGAATGAAGAAACTCTTTGTGAGAAGAACTTGACAAAACATGAAGTTGCAAAGTTTAGGTATGCTATTAAAAACAAGTTCAGGTATCACATGTACTATAACGGCATCAAGTTGTACGCTCGTGTAGGCCATCTTGTAGAAGGCACCAGCACCTTCGAGCCAAAATATTGGTATTATCTTTTCAAACACATCACCTTCAATGTCTATTACATTGGAAACAAAATTCAGAAAATACACATTGAGAATCCCTTCCATTCATCCACTGGTCTACCTGAAGATATTGATGGCAAGAATGTCAAGTTCACTTATTCTGTATTCTGGAAGAACCAAGAAGTTGATTCAGTCGATGTTTTCTTATATACGTGCCTCAATTTCCTTCAAGAGCTGCATGAAAAACTGCGTTTCATAAATTCAACCGCTATCTTATTTGCTGGTTCATTCCTTACCTTCTCGCTTGGATTATACCTCAGGGATTATATCAACCGGTATCTTACCAAGCAACTTTATTCTTTATGCAAACTTTTCTATCGAGCATGTCATTGACAATTTTGATTTCTTAACTAATATTCATTTACCATACTGCATGTATTTCAATAGAGATATAAGAGAAGCCAGAAGGCATATAGGTACGCGGCAGATCCATGGTGAAGCATGCAGGTGTCCTCCATACCCCTCTTTACTTGGTGCTATCCTGGGCATTGGCACTCAGCAATTCATTCTGTAAGCTATTCTAGACCATTTTTTTTCAGTAAATTTGGTGCTTATTTGCTGCATGTGTAAAATCAGAAGTAATTGAAAACAATGAATCATATTCTTCCCCTAGCGTCCAACTTCCCAACCCCAAACTTTGCCTTAGAAAGTGTCCTACCACATATAAAATGGACCCTAGATTTTCTTGAACTCAGCTCTGCCATACAACATGTTCGACTTCAGAAGAAAAAACATATTGAAAAACTTCAATTCACACCAATTGTTACTTTTTATCCATTGTTTGTTGCTCAATATTGGCGAATTATGTCACAACTCTCATGCACACTTCAGCGTGGTCTCATTACTCCTACGTTCTGTACTCGTATCAATAGAACTCTTTCAGACCTCTGATATGGATTTAATAGATGTAAGTCACATATTCTTTGTGGACTCGCTAATAACCTATCTAAAAAGAACTACTGCAACAATTGCTTTTTGGACTTGTAAGGTATAATGTTTTTAGAATTTTTTACCTAATAAAATCTTCTCTTAAAAAGGTAAAAGAATAAGAAATAGAACTTTTGTGATGACTTGTTCTTCATGTTAGCGAGCTTAAAAGAGGCCATCTAGTGGTTCCTTTAGTCTCTCCTTCAAATTTTATGCCAATCTCAATTCCATGTTAACTTAATTATTTAACATTTCCATGTTCATAATTCGTTTGCAGATGTTGCACCCTATTCGTACTGGTATATAGAGGGGATCTATTTTTATGCAATCAGAATGCTTTGATTGCTTCTGTTCTTGCGATATATTGGTTCACATCTGCAATTTCTGGGTACATTGCAACTTCATTTCACAGTCGATATACTGCAGCTGGATGGGTATTTGTTTAATTTTGCTTATTCACTATTCACGTGCCTTTTTATTTCGTACGCTTGTAATAATTTTCTTTCTCTAATGGTTTGTGCAGAAACAATATGTTTTCCAGACTGGGACCCTGTTACTTGTGCCAGCCTTCCTAACATTTCTTATATTGAATATACTAGAACAAGAAAAGGATGGGATCTCTGATCTCCTTCGATCTTACACCACATTGTGGATGCTTTTCTTATGGGGACTAGGCACATTCACATTTTTAAGTGTGGGCGGCATGGTGGGACATGCTCTTAGAGCTAAAGCTCAACCACTTTGTGCTACCAGCAGAATCCCAAGGGCGGTTCCTCAACTATCTTGGTTCACAGAGACACCTGCTCAGGTGTTTTTTGGGGGGCTTTTACCTTTCATTACAATCTTCTCGCAAATGGACTACATATATGCAAGCCTGTGGAACCAAAAAGTCTGTGGCGCATTCAGCACTCTGCTTACGAACTTCATTGTGATCGGTATAACAACTATTATTGTGGCTATGAGTTTTACATACAGTCAACTCTGCCTGCAAGATCAACAATGGCCATGGAGGTATAACTCTTTTTGTGTCTTAATAAAGTTTCTTTTAACTCAGTTCCATTAGCATTACTAACAGGAACTGCTTAGTAGTCAGGTGGCCAGTTTTAGGCATGACCTGAGTCTCAAAATGCATTTGCCATACTCTTTTAAGTTATAGGTAACACTTTCGTAAAAAAAAATTCCCTACCAATTGTAGCTTTGCCTTGTCCTTTGAAGTTTGCCATCAACAGAACTACACTAGTATAAGAACTCTCATAATTATAATAATATGCAGTTAATTATGAGATAAAAAGTAAAGTACCATTCATCAATTTTAACAGTGCCATTGGCTTTCTGTTTCTGCATGTCTTACAACTCTTGATGACAGACCAGCATGTTATCTTTTATTTCGGAACTAAAAACTGATCTTAATCAGATGTTTAAGGACAACTAGCCTAAATGTAGTCTTTATCCTTTCAGATCTGTGTTTCGGGGTGGATCAACTGCCATCTTCATGTTTGCTTACGGCATCTACTTCCATGTCAGAGCAGATCAGTTTAGACCCATGAAGCTGCTCCACTTTCTGGGCTATAATGCTTGCATATTCTATGCTTTCTTCCTGGTACTTGGAACTATTAGCTTTCATGCTTCTCAATATGTTTTTCGCCGCATGTACCGAGGAGTCCTCAGGGACGAGTGAATGATCCATTTCTCTATCATGTGTTCCACTGACACTAGACCATCATTGTTTCTCCAATACACTTCTGCCAATTCTGTTAGTTTCAACATTTGATTGATTAGGTAGCCCATACGTCTCAAGCAAGCTCACAAAGGACAAGCCTTATCCTTGCAATCCCTGGGAAAAAAATTTGGTTTCACAAAGTTAATATAGCTACATTGTGTTGAAGGACTGTATATATACAAAAATAAGACCTTTTATTTTGTGAATGTGAAAAACCCGGATTGATGGGCATGCTTAATTGATAGAGTAGACTGATAAGCTTTGATCATTACTTCTGATTAATTTGTATAGTCCATTGATTTATATGATTTTGCAGGGAACATCACTCTAACATTCCTGTATCAAGAATAGTCCATTGATAATTGTAGTGTCTTGATTGTTATATAGAGTGGTAGCATCCCTATCTCCGTGTACCCGACGATTTAGATCGAGTAATGACTCTATTGGAAAGGGTTGAAACTTAAACCATTCTTAAATGCTCAAGTTTCTCTCCTGGCTTGATTCTTAGCAGCACCATGCTTGAGAAACATGGAGAATGTTAGAGCACTCAACCGATTGGGGTTAGTGCTCAACTTACGTTTGGTTCGGTACTGAAATTAGTAAGAATCAAACCAATTCTAAGGGTTCTAAACATATTAGAATCAAACCTAACTGTTAGAAACACCGCACCGCAAATATATTATCTATGTATTTATTATTAATGATTGAGTTTGTCCTTTAGCACGGCAAATAAGAACTAAATCGTATTAAATATTCTCAAAATTTTAAAATCCTAATCATTTCAGTGTAGAACTGGACCAGACGTATGATTCAGTTTCATCCGGTCCAATTCACCCGTGCTAACAATTTTTTTTGGCAATCCTAATTTTAACATCAGTACAAATTCAACAAATCCTACACCAACCTAGATTCTTCACATCCTTCTCTAAAAAAAATCAAGAATATGAGAAAATAAAAAAGGATTATTTGAAAATTAAAAATAACAGGATCAAAAATTACAATTGCCATTGGGCAAAATTGCAAGCCAAAAAAAAAAAAGTAGTAGAAAATTCCGAAATTGACTAACAGTTAAAACATGATTTCTTTTTTCTTTTTCCTTTGCCTTGAAAAAAGAAAATATGAACCAATCAGATGCCACCACGTGGTAAATCCAAGTAATATAAGAAACTGAATCTGTGAACCTATTACTAGTTAACCTAACTGGGAAAATGAAAGATTAGGGTCACAGTCTCGCTAACGGCGCTCTAGGGAGAAAAAGGCAAACTTTTACAACAATACACACAGCCTTACTTCTGATTGAATCTAACACCGTCCGTGAGTAGCTCATCATATCTAAAATCTGTTTCAGAGACTTGAACGGTTCTGATCAGCATACATATACTTGCACCAAAAATATATTCATATATTGTTGCATCCCCCGTTTTCCCCATTTCCCTCCAATTCAATTTCTTCAAACTCTCTCTCTCTCTCTCTCTCTTTCTTTCTCTCTCTATATATATACACACGAAACACATTGATATATCCATTTTCTTTCATTTCTCTCCCTCTTTCTCTCTCTCTCGGGCGCACACACTAAATCGATGGATCGAATTTCTGCAGTGAGTTTGTTTGTTCTGCTTTTCACAGTTCTGTTAATCTCAGTTCGATCAGTGAGACATTTGCCAGACAAGAATCGCAGCGAAGTTACTGAAGACGTAGACGTCACAGACCCAGTACCAGTATTTGCAAACAAGGTTTTCTCTGATGAAGATCCATGGTAATCACTCCTATTCTCTGCAAATTCTCCACTCAATCGCAGCTATAGATTCTTGATTGTTTCTCAATTGAGATTTGTAATCTGAATGTGAATCTGTAGCTTTTTTTTATCAGTAGCTATCTTTGGTCTGTACGATTCTTGCTTGACTCACTTGATTATTGATTCTTTTTCAATCGAGATATGTAATCTGAATACGAATCTGTAGCTTTATTTCATCAGTAGCTATCTTTGGTCTTTACCATTCTTGATTGCCTCGGTTGATTATCTTTTTCATTCAAGAATATCCATCTCAATTAATTGTTTCACAATCTCAAGAAGGTCACCAATTAAAATTGCTTACAACATTCAACATTGAGCAAGATATGAGTGTTATTTTCTGGAGTCCTTCAATTATAAAATTGTCTGCAAAAAATTAGATTGATATTCCTATATATATATATGTATGGTAGCTTAATCTTAGGGTTTCTTAGTTTGTTTCATGCTTTCTTTTCCTTGATTGCGTGATGATGTTCATGCATGTTTCTTGATCTTTTTGTTCATTGTTGGCAATCAGGTTTTTGATGAGAAAACCTGCTTTCCCTGGCCTAACATTTTTGTTCAACTTTTTATGAATTTCATTTTGTTTTAATTTATTTCTCTACTGATTTAAGGATTCTTCTTTTGCAGTGTTGCAATACCATACTTTGAACTGCCATTCTGCCCTCCAGGAAGTAAGAGAGAATATTTTTAAGGAAAACTATTTATGCTATGTAATACTGGGGAATTTTCAACTAATTGTTCTCCAATTCCATGCTACCAAACATAGCATTTACCTATTATCTATTAAATAGTTCTTCAGTGTGGACTGCCAAACCCAAAGCCATTGTTGTGATGTTCACATCAAAATAATTATTCTGTTAAATATTAATTTCTGTATTATGCAATATGGACTGCCCAACTGAAGAGACATTGTTATTATGCAATATATACTAAGTAATTTATTTACATTCTTATTGTAATATCAATTCCCCCAGTGTCATATTATAGTTCAACCGCAACAAGTTGTTATTAGGCATTAAGGACTTCAATTTTTATTTCAAGATATCACATGGGAGGTACATGTTCAAATGCATGGAAATTTGAATTGCAGATCCAGTAAAGAATGGGAAGAAAACCTTGGAAGAAATTGTGGAGGGTGACTGCTTCACCAATACTCGATATGAGCTGAATTTTAAAGTTGATAAAAATGAAGAAACTCTTTGTGAGAAGAACTTGACAGAAGCTGAAATTGCAAAGTTTAGGTATGCTATCAAAAACAGGTTCAGGTATCACATGTACTATAGCAGCATCAAGTTGTACGCTCGTGTAGGCCATCTTGTACAAAACACCTGGCCCTACACCCATCTAGAACCTATGTATTGGCTTTTCTCACACGTCAACTTCGAGGTCTATTACATCGGAAACCAAGTTCAGGGCATCTTCATTGAGACTCTCTCCCATTCATCCACTGCTCTACCTGCCCATTCATCCAATGTCAAGTTCACTTATTCTGTATTCTGGAAGAACCAAGAAGTCAATTCATCCCATGCTTTCTTGAATACATCCTCAATGGATAAATGGGACCATGAACTCAATTTGGTTAAAAAGAAGCAAGAAAGGAAGGATTTCAGATATTCAGTCCTATATTATGTTGCAATTTGCTTGAAGATTGGGTTACTTCTTTCGGTGATAAAATTATACCTCAACCGGTATCCTACTAAGCAACTTTATCCATTATGCAAGCATTGCTAGCCAGCATGCCATTGACAATTATGATAGCTTAACTAATTCATTTATTATACTGCAGGTATTTCAGTAGAGTTGTAAGAGAAGAAAGAAGGCAGATAGGTATGCAGCAAATCCATGGTGAAGCTTGCAGGTGTCCTCCACGCACCTATTTACTTGGTGCTATCCTGGGCATTGGCACTCAGCAACTAATTCTGTAAGCTATTCTAGAGCATTTTTTGCACTAAATTTGGTGCTTATTTGCTGTGTGTGTAAAGTCAGAAGATTAATTGAAAACATTGATCGTATTCTTCCCCTACTATCCAAGCCCCCAACCCAAAACTTTGCCTAAGAAATTGTCCTACCCCTTATAACATGGACCCTAGATATTCTTGAACTCTGCTCTGCCAGACAACATATTCTACTTCAGAAGAAAACATATATTTTAAAAACTTCAATTTACACTACTTTTTACTTTTTATCCATTATTTGTTGCTGATCACCAACTAATTATGTCACAAATCTCATGCACCACTTCTGCCTGGCCCCATTACTCCTACATTCTGTGCTCACATCAATTGAACTCTATCAGAGCTCTGATATGGATTAAATACACATGAAGTCGCATATTCTTTGTGGACTTGCTAATAACCTATCTAAAAAGAACTACTGCAACAATTGCTTTTTGGATCTTTTAAGGTAAATGTTCTAAGAACTTTTTGCCTAATAAATTTGTCTTAAAAAGGTAAAGAATAAGAAATAGAACTTTTGTGATGACTTATTCTTCATGCTATTGACTTAAAAGAGGCCATTTAGTGGTTCCTTTAGTCTCCTTCAAAAAAAATTTCAATCTCAATTCCATGTAAACTTAATAATTTGATATTTCTATGGTCATAATCTGTTTGCAGATGTTGCATTCTATTCATACTGGTATATAGAGGGGATCTATTTCCGTGCAACCAGAATGCTTTGCTTCAACATCTTCTTGTGATATATTGGCTAACATCTGCGGTTTCTGGGTACATTGCGACTTCATTTCAAAGTCGATATACTGAAGCTGGATTGGTACTTGTTTTATTTTGCTTATTCACTGTTCATGTGCCGTTTTATTTCATACCCTTCTATTAATATTCCTTCTTTAATGGTTTGTGCAGCAAGAATGTTTTGTCCAGACTGGGACTTTGTACCTTGTGCCAGCCTTCCTAACATTTCATATAGTGAATATATTAGAACAAGTAAAGGATGGGATCTCAGATCTCCTTCAAACTTACACCACATTTTTGATGCTTTTCGTTTGGGCAATAGGCACATACACATTTTTAATGGTGGGCGGCAAGATGGGATATTTTTTTAGAGCTTCAGTTCAACCTGTTTGTGCTACCAGCAGAATCCCAAGGACGGTTCCTCAACAGTCTTGGTACAGGAAGACACCTGCTCAAGTGTTTTTTGGGGGGATTTTACCTTTCATTACAATCTTCTGGAAAATGGACTACATATATGCAAGCCTGTGGAACCAAAAAGTCTGTGGCGCATTCAGCACTCTGCTTACAAACTTCATTGTGGTCGGTGTAACAACTATAATTGTGGCTATGAGTTTTACATATATTCAACTCCTTCAACAAGATCAACAATGGGAATGGAGGTATAACTCTTTTTGTGTCTTATATTGAGTTTCTTTTAACTCAGTTCCTTTAGAATTACTAACATGACCTGTAGCCCACACTGGTTTTATTTGTGTATTAATCCACACTGGTTGGGTTGTATTGATTTTAGTCTCAAAATGTATTTTCTGTTGAATAATAACTCTCTTATTGAAAGTTATAGATATCACTTCCCCTCCAGTAAATTACATTTTCCCTACCTATTGTTTTATAAATCCAGTCTGTTTTAGCAATGAGGTAGGTTTGCCTTGTCCTTTTAAGTTTGGCATTACAGATCCATGAACATATATGTCCAGTTCGATCAAAAACCCAAGTTACCCAACTACCAAGATGATTCCCATATTTGTGGGTAATGCTATAAAATGAACAATTAGCACTATAAAAGTATACTAGTATAAGAACTCTCATAATTATCATAACATGTAGTCCTTATCATAGTAGTAAAGTACACTAGCTTAAATATAGTACGTGTTTATCCTTTCAGATCTGTGTTGCGCGGTGGATCAGCTGCCATCTTCATGTTTGCTTACGGCGTCTACTTCCATGTCAGAGTAGATCAGATTAGACCCATGCAGCTGCTCTACTTTCTGGGCTATAATGCTTGCATATTCTATGCCTTGTCCCTGGTACTTGGAACTATTAGCTATCACGCTTCTCAATATGTTTTTCGCCGTGTGCACCGGGACTTGTGAATGATCCATTTCTCTATCATGTGTTGTTCCACTGACACTAGACCATCTTTCAGCCATTGTCTCTCCTGCCAATACTGTTGGTTTCATCATTTTATTGATTAGCAAAGCTCACACAGGACATGCCTTATCCTCGTAATACCTGAAAATTGTTTTGGTTTCACAATATTCATATAGCTACATTCTGCTGAAAGACTTTATAGATACAAATATAAGATTCTTTTGTTGTTGTTGTTATTTGTGATGTGAGCAAACATACATACATAACTGTGTTTTGTGTTTGTGAAAATACCCGGATTGATGGGTATGCTTGATTGACAAATTGATAAGCTTTGATCATTACTTGTGATTATATGGATACAAAATCTTTACTCTGAATCAGCAGGGGGCTAAGTACTCTTTGAACCACATTTAGACTCTCGTCAAAATGTCACGACGAGACGGGTGTGTGTTTGTGTGTGTTTGCAAGTCTTCCCATTTTACTATGGATAAAAATCACACATCCTTTTTGCCGATGGTGCTGGATCTATGGCGATGGCATGCCACTTCATAGCTTCAATTTGTCTTTCTTCCCGTTCTTCAATCCATTAGACGCATTTGATTAGGTCAAACGAGGCCTTAGCTGATGCTGTGTCTTCAGTGGCTGAACAGCGAACAGTAAAGAGAAAAAGGAATTCAGTTTCCCAATCAAACCGAATTTTGACAAACACATCTATAAATCTTCACAAGATCAGTTATCCTTTTGCCATTCTAACAATTATTCCTTCTGTCAAACACCACTAACAATGGGAAGAGAAAACTACAGATCATTTATAAATCAGATTATTTTTAAGAAAAGATTTCTACTTGTTTGCATTCCATGAGCAACATTAAAAATTCGGAATCAATAACCACATTGAACGGGAATGTAGCATAGAAAACATTCTCAGAAGAGCTACTAAAACTTTTGTATCTCTATAATTTCAACAGCAAGTCATTTTAAGATATGAAAAATTATATTTACTGTGGCCCGCAACAAAGTCTGGTGGACTTTTCACCACTTCTATTGGGCACTTGGTAGTTCTGGATACCCCATTTATACCCATCAACTTTTTCATTAAAATTCAATGTAGGATAAGTTTCCCCTTATGATGTATCATTATGTATTTGTACTTGCCCATTTCTAATCCTTTGTTAGTAAATTGCTACTATAATTCAACATCAACCCTCTTTACACCAAAGATTACTCATTATTATAAACCTAAACTCAATAAATCAGATAAACATCATCTAAGATATATATATATTTTTTTTAACTTTGCCTTGAAACAAAAATACTGTCAGGAAAAAGGAAAAAAATAAATAAAATAAATAAATAAATACTGAACCAATCAGCGCGGCAAATCTAACTATATAAGGCGGTGATCCAATTACAGTACTAGTGAAAGATTAGGACAGAGGCCGTAAAAACTGTATAACGAACTAACCTTCTCGCTAAGGAGCACTAGGGGAAAAAGTCCAAGCTGCCAAGGCATACACACAGCCTTAACATCTGATTGAATCTAACACCGTCTGTCAGTATATGATATACTTCTCAAATCAGGCATCAGAGACTTGAACGGTGCTGATCAACATACAAACACTTGCACAGAAAACATCCACACACACTGTTGCATCCCCGTTCTCCCCCCATTTCCCTCCATTCCAATCTCTTCAAACTCTCTCTCTCTCTCTCTCTATATCTATATATATATATATACACACACACACACGAAATACATATTGATATATCCATTTTCCTTCATTCTGATCAATCTCTCTCTCTCTCTCTCTCTCCCTCTCTCTCTCTCTCACACACACACACACACTAAATCGATGGATCGAATTTCCGGCGTGAGTTTCTTTGTTATGTTTTTCACAGCTCTGTTAATCTCAGTCCGATCAATAAGACATTTGCCAGACAAGAATCAATACGAAGTTACTGAAGTCGTCGTCACAGATGATTATGTGCCCGTATTTGCAAATAAGGCTTACTCCGATGACGATCCATGGTAATCGATCACTCATATTCTCTGCGGCTATATATTAGTGATTGCTTTTCAATTGAGAATATGAATCTGTTACTTAATTCGTTCCATCAGTAGCTACTTTTTTCATTGACGAATTTCAATCTCAATTGTTTCACAATCTCAAGAAGGTCATGAAAGAAATGGCTTAAAACATTCAACAGTGAGCACTACGTGTATGAGTGTTATGTTACTTTAATTACCAAATTCTCTGCAGGAAATTAAATTTATATTCACATATGTATATCATTATATATACACATTGATGTTAGCTTAATCTTAGATTGTTAGGGTTTTTTAGCTTCTCTTCTGTGTTCGCTTTTTTATTGTATTTTCCAATAAGTTCACTGTGATGTCTTCTTTTGCAGTGTTGCAATCCCATACTTTCAGCTGCCGTTCTGCCCTCCAGGAAGTAAGAGAGAAACTATTTAAGGGAAAATTATTTATGCTATGTTCGATAACATGGAATTGGTGCCTTTGAATTGAAATTGGGGAAAATTATGAACTAATTTTTTTCCGATTCCATTCTACCAAACAAAACATAGTACTAGAGTTTTGTACTGTTGATAAATGCAAATTACCTATTCTCTGTTAAAATGTTCTTCAGTATGGACTGCCGAATCCAAAGCCATTGCTGTGATGTTCACATCAAAAGAATTATTCTGTTAAATATTATTTTCTCTACTAACTTAGTCATAGAATTATTATGCAATATGGACTGCCCAACTAAAGAAGCATTGTTATCATGCAATATGTAGTGACTAATTTATATACATTCTTGGCGTAATATTAATTCCACTGTTGTTATATTATAGCTGAACCGCAACAAGATGTTATTATACATTATGGACTTTATTTTTTATTTCAAGATATCATGTGGGAGGTAAATGCATGGAAATTTGAATTTGAATTTGAATTGCAGATCCGGTAAAGAATAGGAAGAAATCCTTGCAAGAAATCATGGAGGGTGACTGCTTCACCAATACTCAATATGAGCTGAATTTTAAAGTTGATAAAAATGAAGAAACTCTTTGTGAGAAGAACTTGACAAGAGATGAAGTAGCAAAGTTTAGGTATGCTATCAAAAATGAGTTTGGATATCAGATGTACTATAATGGCATCAAATTGTACGGTCGTGTAGGCCATATTGTAGAAGGCACCAGGACCTTTGATCCAAAATATTGGTATTTTCTTTTCTTACACATCACCTTCGATGTCTATTACGTTGGAAACAAAGTTCAGAAGATCCACATTGTGAGTGACTCCCATTCATCTACTGGTCTACCTGGAGATATTGATGGCAAGAATGTCAAGTTCACTTATTCTGTATTCTGGAAGAACCAAGGAGTTGATTCAATGGATAAACGTGAGCATGATCCGAACTTGCTTGAAGAGCAGCAAGAAAAACTGGATTTCATATATTCAGTCCTATATTTTTGTTCAATCATTGCCTTCTGGATTGGGTTGCTTCTTTCAGTGATTGTATTATACCTCAGGAATTATTTCAGCCGGTATCTTACCAACAAACTTTATCCTTTATGCAAGCCTTACTCACAAGCATGCCATTGACAATTTTGATAGCTTAACTAATATTAATTTTACTATATTGCAGGTATTTCAATAGAGATGTAAGAGAAGCCAGAAGGCAGATACATATGAGGCAAATCCATGGTGAAGCATGCAGGTGTCCTCCATACCCCTCTTTACTTGGTGCCATCCTGGGCATTGGCACTCAGCAATTCATTCTGTAAGCTATTTGAGAGCATTTTTTGCAGAAAATTTGGTGCTTACTTGCTGCGTGTGTATAAGTCAGAGTATTAATTGAAAACTTTCAATTATATTCTTCCCCTAACACCCAAGACCTCAACTCCAGGCTTGCCTTAGAAAGTGTCCTACAACATATAACATGGACCCTAGATTTTCTTGATTAAAACCCAGCCTGACAATATGTTCTACTTCACAAGAAAACATATTGAAAAACTTCAATTTACACTAGTTTTTATCCATTATGTGTTGCTCATCATCGACTTATGTCAACTCTCATGCACCACTCCTGCTCGGCCCATTACTCCTACATTCTTCCTTCCCATCAATTGAATTCTCTGTGTACTCGCTAATAAGGTATTACTAAGGTCAATCTGTATCTTGTACGACATCTTACACAAAGTATATGTCTTTTTCAAAATAATAAATAAATAAAAATTCCTATAGGCTTCTCTATATTTAATTGTATAAATTGTGAAATAAAATCCGATGTTGGTTATTTGATGCAGACAATAATGTTTTTAGATTTTTTTGCCTACTAAAATTGTCTTAAAAAGGTAAGAGAAAAAGAAATAGCACTTTTGTGATAACTTTTTTTTATTTTTAATTACCTTTTGACTCATTCTTCTTGTTAGCAAAGCTTAAAAGAGGCCATTTAGTGGTTCCTTTAGTCTCCAAATTTTATGTCAATCTCAATCCCATGTTAACTTAATTATTTGGCATTTCCATGTTCATAATTTGATTGCAGATGTTGCACCCTATTCGTACTGGTATATAAAGGGGATCTATTTCCCTGCAATCAGAATGCTTTGCTTGCTTATCTTCTTGTGATATATTGGTTCACATCTGCGGTTTCTGGGTACATTGCGACTTCATTTCACAGTCAATATACTGAAGATGGATGGGTACTTGTTTTATTTCGCTTTGCACTATTCATGTGCCTTTTTATTTCATAACCTTCTATTAATTTTCCTTCTCTAATGGTTCGTGCAGCAAGAATGTGTTTTCCAGACCGGGACTCTGTATCTTGTGCCAGCAATTGTAACATTTCTTATAGTGAATATATTAGAACAAGTAAATGAAGGGATCTCAGATCTCCCTCGATCTTATACCACATTGTGGATGCTTTTCTCATGGGGATTAGGCACATTCGCATTTTTAAGTGTGGGCGGCATGATTGGACATGTTGTTAGAGCTAAAGCTCAACCACCTTGCGCAACCAGCAGAATCCCAAGGGCGGTTAATCCTCAACTGTCTTGGTACACAAAGACACCTGCTCAAGTGTTTTTGGGGGGGCTTTTACCTTTCATAACAGTCTTCTGGGATATGGACTACATATATGCAAGCCTGTGGAACCAAAAAGTCTGTGGCGCATTCAGCACTCTGCTTACGAACTTCATTGTGGTCAGTATAGCAACTATTATTGTGGCTATGAGTTTAACATATATTCAACTCTGCCAGCAAGATCAACAATGGGCATGGAGGTATAATTCTAGTGCCATGGTCTTGGTTAAGTTGATAGTTTGTAAGTCATTTCACATATGTGAAATGCTAGCTACACAATAAAGTAGAGATCTTCTTAATTTGGATTGGCTTTCTGATTCTGTGCCCCTTCCAACTCTTGATGACAGACCAGCATGTCATCTTTTATTTGGAACTAATTAAAAACTATCTTAAATGTTAGGGACAGCTATCTTAATTGTAGTCTTTATCCTTTCAGATCTGTGCTTCGGGGTGGATCAGCTGCCATCTTCATGTTTGCTTACGGCGTCTACTTCCATGTCAGAGCAGATCGGTTTAGACCCATGAAGCTTCTCTACTTCATGGGCTATAACGCTTGCATATTCTATGCTTTCTTCCTGGTACTTGGAGCTATTAGCTTTCATGCTTCTCAATCTGTTTTTCGCTTCATGTACCACGGAGCCCTCAAGGACGAGTGAATGAATCCATTTCTCTATCATGTGTTCCACTGAAACTAGACCATCTTTCAGCCATTGCTTCTCCAATACACTTCTGCCAATTCTGTTAGTTTCACCATTTCATTGATTAGGTAGCCCATACATCTCAAGCAAGCTCACAAAGGACAAGTCTTATCCTTGCAATCCCTGAAAAAAAAATTTGGTTTCACAAAGTTCATATAGCTACATTGTGTTGAAAGACTGTATAGATACAAAAATACATTACTGTATTTTGTGATTGTGAAAAACCCGGATTGATGGGTATGCTTAATTGATAGAGTAAACTGATAAGCTTTGATCATTACTTCTGATTAATCGTATAGTCCATTGATTTATATGATTTTGCAGGGAACATCATTCTAACATTCCTATATCAAGAATAGACCATTGATAATTGTAGTGTCTTGATTGTTATATGGATTGTAGTATCCTTACCTCCATGTACCTGATGATTTAGAACCTGAATTCGGACTCTCTATCAAATGATTCCACGGAGGTGATATTGCAAAGGGTTGAAAGTTGAAGCATTCCTAAATGTACAAGTTTGTCTCCCGCTTGATTTTTAGCAGCACCATTGCTTTTGGATCATGGTGGATGTTAGAGCACACACCAAGAGGTTCTTTTTATCCGATTCTGAGATTAATCGGAACCAAACCGATTCTAATGGTTCCAGAAATTTTGGAACAAAACCAAACATTAGAAACAGTGGAACCAAATCGCATTTCAGTTCGGTTCTACCATTTTGGACTTTCCGATAAATATGCATATGCTCTGTAGTGTACCATAAGTTATATTGTATTGCATGTTAAATTATATTTTGAACCAGTGTATTATACAATATATAATAAATTTATTACTTTGAATTCCAAAGTGGAAAATAACCGTAATCAATGGTTCTTAAATATTTAGAAGTAGAACCGAATCAACCCTACCAAATTGCGCTTTGGTCCAGACTAGCGTGCCGATTCTTACAATTTTTTGCACACCCCTAAATTTAATCTACAACATTCGACAAATCCTACATCAACCTATGATCTAGTAGCGGCTGCTGTCAGAGTTTGGAATTTTTGAATATAAGACTAGAAAGAATGAATAAATAAATAAATAATCTCCAACCTATATAAAATAAAGAAGATTAGAAAATAAAAAGAGGATGATTTGAAAATTAAAAATAACAGGATCAAAAATTACAATTAGGTTCGGGCAAAATTGAAAAAAAAAAAAAAGAGTACAACCTAGTAAATTTCAAAATAAAAAAAGTATTTTGTCTGTGTTGTTCGAGTGGATGGTTTCACCCATCCCAGTCGGAATTCTTGCCCAAAAAAATAATAATAAATTGAAATTTGACTAAACAGCCTACATCTTTTTTTATCCTGCCTTGAAAAAGAAAATATGAACCAATCAGAAGCCACCACATGTAATAGAAGATTAGGTCAGTGGCGGCAAAAATTCTATAACGATCTAACCGTCTCGCTAACCAGCACTAGGGAGAAAAAGGCAAGCTGTTACGACGGTACACACAGCCTTAACTTCTGATTGAATCTAACACCGTCAGTGAGTAGTATATACATCTTAAATCAAGCATCATACACTTGAACGGTTCTGATCAACATACAAACACTTGCACAAAAATATCCACATACACTGTTGTATCCCCCCTCTCCCCCAGTTCCCTCCATTTCAATCTCTTCAAACTAACTCTCTCTCTCTCTCTCTTCTCTCCTCTCTTCTCTCTTCTCTCTCTCACTCACACACACACACACACACACACACTCTAAATCGATGGATCGAATTTCTGCAGTGAGTTTGTGTGTTCTGCTTTTCACAGCTCTGTTAATCTCAGTTCGATCAGTGAGACATTTGCCAGACAAGAATCGCAGCGAAGTTACTGAAGACGTAGACGTCACAGATCCAGTACCAGTATTTGCAAACAAGGTTTTCTCTGATGAAGATCCATGGTAATCACTCCTATTCTCTGCAAATTCTCCACTCAATCGCAGCTATAGATTCTTGATTGTTTCTCAATTGAGATTTGTAATCTGAATATGAATCTGTATCTATCTTTGTTTCATCAGTAGCTATCTTTGGTCTGTACGATTCTTGCTTGACTCAGTTGATTATAGATTCTTTTTCAATCGAGATATGTAATCTGAAGAAAAATCGTTAGCTTTGTTTCATCAGTAGCTATCTTTGGTCTTTACGATTCTTGATTGCCTCGGTTGATTATCTTTTTCATTGAAGAATATCTATCTCAATTAATTGTTTCACAATCTCAAGTAGGTCACCAATTAAATAGCTTAAAACATTCAACATTGAGCAAGATATGAGTGTTATTTTCTGTAGTCCTTCGATTATAAAATTGTCTGCAAAAAATTAGACATATATATATATATATATATATATATATATATGGTAGCTTAATCTTAGGGTTTATTAGTTTGTTTCATGCTTTCTTTTTCTTGATTGTGTTATCCAGTAAGTTCATTGTGATGTTCATGCATGTTTCTTGATCTTTTTGTTCATTGTTGTTAATCATGTTTTTGATGAGAATACCTGCTATCCCTGGGCTAACATTTTTGTTCAACTTTTTATGAATTTCATTTTGTTTTAATTTATTTCTCTACTGATTTAAGTCTTCTTCTTTTGCAGTGTTACAATCCCATACTCTGAGCTGCCATTCTGTCCTCCAGGAAGTAAGAGAGAGTTTTCTCTACTGTTCAAGAAAATGTCATTACCTATATTATCTATTGATAGAATTATTATACAATATGGACTGCCCAACTAAAGATAAATTGTTATTATGCAATATGTACTAACTAATTTATTTACATTCGTAGTTTAATATTAATTCCAATGGTGTTATATTATAGCTGAATCGCAACAAGTTGTTTTTAATTATGCGTTATGGACTTCATTTTTTATTTTATGACATCATGTAAGATGGAGATACATATTCAAATGCATGGAAATTTGAATTGCAGGTCCAATAAAAAATCGGAAGAAATCCTTGGAAGAAATTCTGGAGGGTGACTGCTTCACCAACACTCGATATGAGCTGAATTTTAAAATTGATAAACATGAAGAAACTGTGTGTGAGAAGAACTTGACAAAAGATGAAATTGCAAAGTTTAGGTATGCTGTCAAAAACGTGTTGAGCTATCACATGTACTATAACGGCATCCAGTTGGAAAGTGATGTAGGCTATATTGGAGAAAATTTGAATTTTCTTTTCAAACACATCACCTTCGAGGTCTTTCACATCGGAAACCAAATTCAGGACATCCAAATTGTGACTGACTTCCATTCCCGTTCATCCGCTGGTCTACCTGAAGGTAATGATGGCAAGAATGTTAAGTTCACATATTCTGTATTCTGGAAGAACCTAGGAGATATTGATGATTTCTTGAATACAACCTCAACGGATGCACGGCATTCCAGATACTCAGTCCTATATTTTGGATCATTCATTGCTTTCTGTATTCTGTATTCTGTGATGGTTTTTTCGGTGATTGCATTTCACATCGTGGATTATTTCAACTGGTATCTTACCTACCAACTTTATCCTTTATGTACTAACAATTTTGATAGCTCAAGTAATATTCATTTACTATACTGCAGGTATTTCAATCCAGATGTAAGAGAAGCCAGAAGGTATGCGAGGCAAATCCATGGTGAGGCATGCAGGTGTCCTCCATACTCCTCTTTACTCGGTGCTACCCTGGGCATTGGCACTCAGCAATTGATTCTGTAAGCTATTCTAGAGCATATTTTGCAGTAAATTTGGTGCTTATTTGCTGTGTGTGTAAAGTCTGAAGATTAATTGCAAACTTCAAATCACATTCTTCCCCTGCCACCCAAGCCCCCAACCCCAAACTTTGCCTTATAAAGTGTCCTCCCACATAATATGGTATGCTTGAACTCAGCTCTGCCCAACAACATGTTATACATCACAAGTAAACATATTGAAAAACTTCAATTTACACTAGTTTTTTTACTTTTTATCCATTATTTGTTGCTCATCATGGACTAATTATGTTACAACTCTTATGCGCCACTTCTGCTGCTCGGAACCATTACTCCTACATTCTGTGCTTACTCCAATTGAATTCTTCTAGAGCTCTGATATGGATTTAATAACCTATCTAAAAAGAACTGCTGCAACAATTGCTTTTTGGACCTGTAAAGTCAATTGGTATCTTGCACGACATACTTACACAAAGTACATGTTTTTTTTTCCTTATTTCTTCTATACAGGCTCCTCTATAATTAATTTGCCAAGTCCAATATTGGGTTTCTGTTAATGTAAATTGTATAAATTGAAAAAAAAATAATAATAATGTCCAATATTGGTTATTTGATGCAGACTACAATGTTTTTAGAATTTTTTGGGTGCTAAAAGTTTGCCTTAAAAAGGGGAGAGATTCAGAAATAGAACTTTTTGGGATAAGTTATTCATGTTAAAGCAAGCTTAAAATAGTTCAAAATTTTTGTCAATCTCAATTCCATGTCAACTTCATTATTTGACAATTCCATGTTCATTATTCGTTTGCAGATTTTGCGCCCTATTTGTACTGGTCTATAAAGGGTATATACTTCTATGCAGTAAGACTGCTTTGCTTGCTTATCTTCTTGTCATATATTGGCTTACATCTGCGGTTTCTGGGTACATTGCAACTTCATTTTACAGTCGATATACTGCAGCTGGATGGGTACTTTCACTTATGCATCATTACTCATGTGCCATTTTATTTCATATCCTCTTGTCTTAATTTTCCTTCTCTAATGATTTGCGCAGAAAGAATGTGTTTTCCAAACTGGGACTCTGTACCTTGTGCCAGCCTCGCTAACATTTCTAATAGTAAATGATAGGATCTCCTTATCAGATCTGGCTGGATCTAATTACACCGCATTGTTGATGCTTTTCTCTTGGGGAGTAGGCACATTCACATTTGTAAGTGTGGGGGGCATGATGGGACATACTTTTAGAGCTACACTTCAACCACGTTGTGGTACCAGCGAAATTCCAAGGGTGGTTAATCCTCAACTGTTTTGGTACACAAAGGCACCTGCTCAAGTGTTTTTGGGGGGGCTTTTACCTTTCCTTACAATCTTCTGGGGAATGGACGACATATATGCAAGCCTGTGGAACCATAAAGTCTGTGGCGCATTCAGCACTCTGCTTACGCACTTCATTGTGATCATCGTAATGACTGTTGTTGTGGCTATGTGTTCTACATATATTCGACTCGGCCAGCAATATCAACAATGGGCATGGAGGTATAACTCTTTTCTTTTAACTCAGTTCCATTAGCATTACTAACATGAACCAACGAACAAACTCGACACACTGGCTTTATATTAATCCACATTAGAGAGCAGTACGTTGGGTTGGGTTGGGTTGATTTTAGTCTCAAAAGGTTTTATTTGTATATCAATCCAAAATTGTGGGTAATGCTATAAAATGAAAAATTTAGCAATATAATAGTGCACTAGTAGTATAAGAACTCTTATAATATGGCTTCATCAATTTTAATGTACAGTGTTATTGCTATTGTCTTAGTTAATTAATGTAGTGTTTTATCCTTTCAGATCTGTGTTTCGGGGTGGATCAGCTGCCATCTTCATGTATGCTTACTGCATCTACTTCCACGTGAGAGCAAATAAGATTAAACCCATGGAGCTGCTCTACTTTCTGGGATGTAATGCTTGCATATTCCATGCTTTGTTTCTGGTACTTGGAACTATTAGCTTTCATGCTTCTCAATATGTTTTTCGCCGCATGCACCGAGGAGTCCTCAGGGCCGAGTGACTCTCTCTATTATGTGGACACCAGCTATTGTCTCTCCTATACACTTCTGTCGTTAGTTTCAACATCTCAACCAAGCTCACACAGGACATACCTTATCCCTGAAAATTAATATAGCTAGCTACATTGTTGTGCTGAAACACTGACTGTATAGATTTGCTACAAATATAAGATTCCTTTTTTTGGTGACATGGGGGGCAAACATGCATTACTGTACTTCGTGTTTGTGAAATTGATAGAGAGTAAAGTGAAAAGGTTTGATCATTTTATTGTATAGTCCATTTATTTAGTATATGATTTTGCAGGGAAGATCACTCTAATAATTGATTGTGATATGGGATTGTAGCATACCCTACCTCCATGTATTCAATGACTTAAGAGTCCTCCTAATTCCGACTCTTTATAAAGGCAATCACTTCACTGAGGTTGAAAATTGAAGCATTCTTAAAATGCTCAAGTTTGTTACCTGGCTTAGAGCACACAAAGTGATGGACCAGAGAGACATGACATGACATGACCTCACAAGTTTAGGGCCGGGCTTGGGGGAAGACAACCCCACGTGGAAACCCACACCAGAGCAAAGTGAAGTGGGGATCCAGATGTCTAAAACGGGTACCAACCAACCCATCTTATCAAAAATGGAGTTCACAACTTCTTCTTGGTCATCAATTAAGCTATTAAGATTATAATGATTTTGCCCCTGCTTACTGTTTACTCTACCTGCTTACTGTTTACTCTATGAAAATATGTTATATTCATTGTGGTAGTCGGGTATCGTTCGCGATGCAACGGATTCATAAAATGATCAAATTAATTAATTTATATAGACATATAATGATAAAATTACGAATCAGCCATAACTATATTACTTACTACCCTTATTTTACTCTGATTTTTTTATTTATTTTGTCATTGATTTTACTCTGCGTTGGTGCACGTACAACCTTTTTTTTTTAAAAGATAAGTTATGACATGATTTACAGTGGTGGGATCTGTGATTGTAAAGGGAGGTAAAACAAAGAACGAAATAGATACCGTCTTCAATGAAATTCATCCCATTCGTTGGTGGCCAAGTCCACCTGTTATTGAGCGTTTAGAGGATTGTGGCTTATTCACTGATCAATGATGTATTGATGTGTCATTCAGTATTCATAAATCATCCCAATTTAATAAAATTAATTTGAATAAGGTTTAACCCAATGATTTGTAGTCAATTTTCTTGAGTGAATTACATAAATTACTTTTACACAAAATTGCAAGCAATATTTGTGCTCTAAAATTCTTTTCACACTACTTCTATATTTTTTGTTTTTATTTTTATTTTTATTTTTATTTTACTGACAATTTGACAATGCTATAGAAGAGTTAAAAGGGGAAAAAAAAAATTGAGAAAGGTGAATTGAGCCGGCACGTACCATGTTATTCAAGTGGTTGCAGTTCTCTCCTATATGCGAGTCCATGTTTGAGCATTGCACTCTCCCCTGTAACAACTAACTATAAATCTCTAACATTTTTACCCTGAAAATAAATAAATAAATAGAAAAAGTGAGCTCACACATTTCTATTTTTTGGTAATTACCTTGGTGTAACGGTATTATAAATATTTATGAGAGCTAATATTCTCGCTCCACTTTTGATCAAGGACATTCCAATCTTTAATTTTAATAATAAAATGACAAAATTATTTCCAAACTCTGCATACATCTCTTCGCACATAGTTTTATCAGCATCTTACCGATGTTACCCAACCCAAAAATTGCTCGTCCCAATCTTGTTGTCCATAACTTTGAAATATATTGCTCTAATAACAGAGTTTGAAAAGATCTGATATATTCACTATTTACCATGGATTGGGACAGCTTTAAGCGGTTGCAATTGGGACTCTTCTCAGTCTCAGTGTACTCATCAGATATATTCACTATTTACCAACAAGGTCAAAATAGTCAATTTAATTTCTAAAATTAAATGGTGGAGCGGAGTGTCAATATCAACTCCCTTATTTATTTATTTATTTATTTAAAAGTTCTTAGAACAAAATAAAATGTTTTCTCTTATCCAGAAATATTAATTTCTTAGAAGTCATATCTTACATGTGACAAACCGAATTTTTAAGAGTTTAAATTTTATAATGATTTTTTTTGTTGTCATAATTTAATAATGTTGGTGATTTATTAATTGGAGATTAATATTTTTATTTTAATTGGAGACAGTTTAGTGATTTGGTTTCTTTGTTGCATAATATATATATATATATATATATATATATATATATATATATATGCAATCTTATGAAAGGATAAAGTGGGTTGGTCACGTAGCTTTGTGTGATGTTGATAATTGTGATGGAAGAAGATAAGGATAAAAGGCAAGAATGGCATTGGAATGGGTATTTGATTAAATTATTTTTTTTATGCTTATTTCTAATGGATGGATAGTTCTTATATATATATATATAGCTTCCTTCCATCAGTCAAGATATATATATATATATATCTTGACTGATGGAAGGAAGCAACATGGCTGCTGAAATAAAATGGGAAAATAAAGAGATATTTATATATATTGTGGGCCCCACAGGGGCATTAGTATTGCAAATGGCCATAAGCCATAATCAGAATCTCATTTCTCTCTTTCTCTCTGCTGCTGATACGTTTTCTTCCTCTTCGTCTTCTATTTATTTTTTTTCTTTTTTTGCTTTTCAAGCTTTAAAGCTTGATTTCTCCTCAAGTTTTGAGAAATTTTTGGTGTCGTTTGCGGCAAAACGGAGAGCACGGCGAGATCTACTCATTGATGTAAGTAATTCATCATTTAGTGCATACTTAGAATTCCAAAAATTTGGACTCATTTGATAGTTTTCTACAAAATTGAGGTAGGAGTGTTCTAATCCACTCAATCTTTGATTCTTGTGACTTATCTTCTTGTATTTAATGTATAACATGCTAAAATTTGGGATAGTTCTTTAATTAATTGCTATAGTGTTGTATATAAATGTTGTGTATCCATATGAGCTTGTATGTAAAAGTGATTTGTGAGTTTATGGTTGTTAAATTTTAATTGAGAATCATGCTTAAATGGTTGTGTTTTTAATTCCACATGTTTAGTTACTGAAATTTTGGGTGTTAGTAAGCATGTTATATTCTAGTGGAATTTCCTTGTTAAGCATGCTATATTGTAAGAATGAATTTTATGAGATTACGGTAATTTGTGAAGCATGAATTATGGATTTTAGACATTTACTTTGAATAATATGTGTGAAAGTTTTATGGTTGATTTGACGAAATTAAGCATGAAGCATTCATGCATCCATTGGGGAAAAGGAAAAGAAAAAAAAAAATGTTTTAAAATAATCAAAACTTGCTTTTGGGAAAAAGTTTTCTAAAAGTGTTTGCGAAAACCGAACGCCTAGGAGGTGCCTAGTGGTCCGTGGTGTTAGTGTAGTCTAGAGGGGAGTATGATTGAGCTAACCAGGCCAGATGAGACGCCTTGGATGTGCCTTGTAGTCGTGGATGGTTAGCCGATTCTCCTTTAGTTGAGTTAACCAGGCCGAATGCGACGTCCTGGAAGTGTCTTGTGGTCGTAGATGGTTAGCCAACCCTCTCCTCGTGACGCCATAGAGGTGTTATGGGTCGGATTACATTAATAGTTTGGAAGTTGAAACAGAAATGTTTCGGAATAAGGAGCGACATTTGCATGACATTTTGGCATAATTGTGATTTGGATGACATTTGTGTTTATATTTGACGTCGTAGTTACGGATTACACCCCGGTATAGTGTGATCCCGTTCTCTTGATTTCCATTCTATGCGTGGATTCACAGGGTCATAAGAAGTGTGTCTTAGATATTTCCTACTGAGCTTATGCTCACCCCTTTATTATTAACATTTTTTAGGGCACGAAAGGGAAGTGGCGGACGACGCTCCTCCATAGGGTTCGATGGGTTAATGGACTGTTTTGACATATTTCGTAACTATAATCTCATTTTATTAATATTGCTATTGCTATTTTTTTAAAAAATTCTGGGATGACACGTATATTATATATTGATGTAGGACAGGACGGTAGTGTCCTTAGTTGACCTCGGGTTCGGATAAGGACCCGATTAGCGATTCGGACCCTCGGGTTCGGGTCATTACAAATTTGGTATCAAAGCGATGGTTCGAATACCATTAGGACGACAGGTAGAGGCCTACCTAGGATTGCATAGGGAAGTTGAATAGCATGTATATATGCTTATATGCAAGGTGTTAGATTGTTTCAGAAGCATGCCTACTTGCTTATTTGTTTGTCTGCTTATGTGATTACATGCTAAATGTTGACATGCTTATGTGCTTAAAGGTTAAAATATGTGTTACTATGGCTAGAATATTTAATAATGATTGAAAGCATGTTATACGTGATAAGTTGTCAAGTAGTGAGTATGGGTTATGGCATGTAAGTGATGCATAGTGAGGTGACGAACAATTGAGCACGGGTTGTGCAAGTACGTGCTATATGAAATGATGACAAGGATGAACAAGGTGTTTAATTTCACATAATAATTTAATGGACTCATTGTTTAAAACTGATGTGATGGGACACGGTTGTGTCAGTGGTTATGTTCCTGTTATTATGTATATATGTATATATATGTATGTCTTGTATATATATGTATATCTATATGACTTATGTGTATGTATGCGGTCGAGGATGGGATGGTTGTTAGTATGGTGGAGTACTGGTTGAGGCAGAGATGGTTGTGTGGGTTTTGACCTGAGTAAGCAAGGAGCTCGGTTGCTCCAGGGTTGTTTGGGTGCTGGTTCTTATCGAACGAGTGGCTTGGTCTTTTAACTCATGGATTGTGCTATCCAGTGTGGGGTTCTCCTGGTCTTCTTGTTGCATTTTTTGCGGTGCTTAGAGCATAACTTTAGAATGGGTTCGTATTTCATGGCATGGTGTCTTTGTTGTATGTGAGTTTCATGCATCGGTGGATGGGTTCTTATGACCGTGGAGGTCAGGTGCGCGAGTAAGGGTTTCGAGGGGGAAATGTATGACCTTAGGAGGTTAGTG